CTTTACATTCAACAACTCATTCTCATTTTAAATACTGCAAGGTAGGTTTTATGATGCACTTTCTAAAATAAGGAAACTGAGGCTCACTAAGTTTCAATAATCTGCCCAAAGTCACTGAACTGACTTGGAAACCAGGCCTCTTTCCAGAAGCTACACTTTTAACTCTGTGCTGAACTCATCTGTTTCAAAAAGTTTACAGGCCTTGTAAATATAACAATCAGCCACTTGTGCCTGCAGAAGTCAGGGCTGCCTTCAGGTACGGGGATTCCTTTCTGGAAGATCAATACACAGAGCTGAGTCTGGCTCCAACTTGCTGTTCCCCACCCCAGGGAGAGTGGCTACAGGGAGAATTTTGTTAAAAGCTAGCATTAATTTACCATCTTTCATTTTTAAGTATACTGTTCAGAGTTGTTAAGTATGTTCACATTGTTGTGCAACAGATCTCTCACGTTCTTTCATCTTACAAAACTGATATTACGTGCCTGAACACCAATTCCCACTCCCTTTCCCACAGCCCTCAGCAACTACCATCCTGGCTTTCTGTTTATATGATTTTGACTACTTTAGGTACATCATATAAAAGTAATACAGTATTTGTCCTTTGTAACTGGCTTATTTCATCTAGTATAATGTCCTCAAGCTTCATCCATATTGTAAACATGATAGGATTTCCTTCTTTTTAAAAGCTGCTTACAATTCCATTTTATGTTGTATGCCACATTTTCTTTTTCCATCCATCCACCCAACGGACATATGGGCTGCTCTTGGCTGTTGTGATTAATGCTGCAGTCAACATGGGTGAGAAATATCTCGTTGAGATCTTGCTTTGAATCCCCTAGAAGAGGGATTGCTGGATCATATGGTAATTCCATTTTTATTCTTTTGAGGAACCTCCATACTGTTTTCCATAATGGATGCACTATTTTACATTCCCACCAACAATGCACAAGAGTTCCAATTTCTCCACATCCTCACCATCACTTGTAATTTTCCATTCTTCCGAGGGTTGCCATCCTCATGGGTATGAGGTGGTATCTCACTGTGGTTTGGATTTGTACTTCTATGATCAGTGATGCTGAGCATCTTTTCATATGTCTATTGGCCATCTGTGTGTCTTTTTTTGGAGAACTGTCTATTCAGATCTTTTGCCTATTTTTTAATCAGATTATCTGTTGCCTGTGCCTTTGGTGGCATACCCAAGAAGTCATTGCCAAATCCAGTGTTCTGAAGCTTTTCCCCTATATTTTCTCCTAGATGTTTTTCAGGTTAGGTCTTACATTTAGGTCTTCAGTCCATTTGAGTTAATTGTACATGATGTAGGATAAGGGTCCAACCTCATTCTTTTGCATGTGTATAACCAACACCATTTCCTTTGTAGTCTTGCCACTTTGTCAAAGATCATTTGACCATATATGGAACAGTTTATTTCTGGGCTCTCTATTCCATTGGTCTGTATGTCTGTCTTATGCCAGTACCACACCATCTTGAGTATTGCTTTGTTGCATTTTCTGAAGTCATGAATTGTGTGGATTCCAACTCTCTTCTTTTTCAAGATTGTTTTGGCTCTTTAGGATCCCCTGAGATTCCATGTGGATTTTAAGATGTTTTTCTCTACTTTTGCAAAAATTGCCAATGAGATTTTGATAGGGATTGCATTGAATCTGTAGGTCATTTGGGTAGTGTGGTCATTTAAATAATATTAAGCCTTCCAACCCAATAACATGGAATATCTTTTCATGTGTTTGTATCTATTATTTCTTTCAGAAATGTTTTGTAGTTTGTGTACAAACCTTTCATCTCCTTGGTTAAATTTATTCTTAAGTATTTGATTCTTTTTTTACACTATTTTAAGTCAGGTTATTTTCTTCATTTCCTTTCTGGATTGGTCATTGTTAGTGTTCAGAAACACAACTGATTTTTACTTGCTTGTTTTGTGTCATGTAACTTTGCTGAAATTGTTTGTTATAATAGTTTGGGGTTTTCTCTGTCACCTTTAGGGTTTTGTATACATGAGGTCATACCATCAGCAAACAGGAAAATTTTATTTCTTCCTTTCCAGTTTTGATGTTTTTAATTATCTAATCGCTCTAATTAGGGCTTACAGTACTAATCTGAATAGAAGTGGCTAGAGTAGGCTTTACATCATTCCTGATCTTAGAGGAAAAGCATATACTCTTTAATCATTGAGTATGGTTTTAGCTGTGGGCTTTGCATATATGGCTTTTATTATGTTGTAGCAGTTTACTTTTATTCCCAGTTTCTTTAGTGTTTTTATCAGGAAAGGGTATTGAATTTTGTTAAATGCATTTTCAATATCAACTGAGATGATCATATGGGTTTTGTCATTCATTTTGTTAATACATTGATTTTTGGTATATTACATTGAACCATACTTGCATGCTAATAAATCCAACTTAATCCTTTTAATGTGCTGTTGAATTCAGTATGATAGTATTTTGTTGAGTATTTTTGCATCAATATTCATCAGGAATATTAGTCTGTAGGTTGCTTCTCTTGCTGTAATAATATATTTACTTTTAAACAGTTAATGAATAGCTCCTGAGATGTGCCTTATGTTTTAAACATATAAAATGGTTTAAGAACTTTATGAAGTTTTGTTCTATGGATAATGTCATGTTCAAACATTATGCTAGGAAAATATGCTAATGAGAATTCAGAATGGTATATAAGTAGGAACATCTTAAACACCTACTTTTGTGTTAAAGTAAATTTCATTCTCTGCTCCCAAAGGAGCCAAATGCAGGTTTGGGAGAGGAAAATGTCTTCCCTCTAGGTTTGATACATTTGTCATTCTGAGCTTATATGGTTTGGTTGGTTGGTTGTTTAAAGAGGTATGTGTATGTATCACAGAGAAATTTGAGTACTGCAATGCAGTTACCCCAAATCATATCATTTAATCTAAAGTGGAGATATCACTCATAACAATATTCAAAATATAGCCCCATAAAATATATTTTTCAATGGCAACAGATTGTTTTGAGAGTCTCACATAACTTTAATACATGTTACTTTTCACTATGTTTCCTTAAATTCAATCAAAACATAAAAGTTGGTTGAAATTCCATCTCACAGTTATGAAAAGTAGATTTATTCTTTTGTTTTTTATATTGAATTAAGATTAAGGAATAACATATAGCAGAACTTTTCTTAACTGATCATTTACTGTGGTCAATGAACCTGGTTTAGGATTACTCTAAATGGAAACAAAAAGACTGAACTAAATTTGGGAGGTAAGACTATTCAGAAAATGTTATTCTCTGAGGTATGTTTTCACTTTATGGCATTTCCTAGTAAGAGTCAGAATCAAATAGTTTTATAACATTGTAAAATTTTGTACATACATGGTATATGGTAAAATAACTAAATTAGGGGAGGGAAATGCCAACATGTTTCCTTCCTGCAGAAAATAGCAAGCATCCAGCATTATGCAACACACACTTTTCTTTCTTTCTACTAAAGTATGACAAATACAGAACTTTTAGGACTGTCAGGGTCCTTGTATTATCCTTCTTATTCAATCACAAGGATAACTATATTTTGCATATTAAAAAGATACTAATAGCAACTAGTAGGCATTGAGAGCTTATTATGTTGACCACTCGGCTTCAAGTACATTATATGCTGAATTTTACTGAATCGTTATAGGAATCTTATAAGGGTAAAGAAAGTACTAGTCACTAAAGTTCCCTTAATACTCAAAGCTGAAGTTCATTATAGAAAGATAAATATAAGGGAACATATAACTCTATTTTTAATATCTTAGCAAGTGACTGGCCTAATCTTGAGAAAGCAAGATAGACACTAGATTCATAATGACTTTTTATACCTGATTGGAATCCAGAACATTTAGAACCATTAACTACTAATATTAGCTTTATCAGCAAATGAGCAATATGTATTTGACCTGAGAAGACCTTATTAAAGCCAACAGAATGATGGCTCAATAAAATAAAGTTTGCCCAGCTTTCCTTCTTCTACTTTTTTCCACTAGCCACTATTCAGCTAAACCTAAAATGGATGAAAAAATCCATTTTTAAATAAAATGATAAATAAATTTTATTATAAATAATAAATAAAATGTAATAATAAATCAGTATCATAAAGTGATAATAAATATAATTAACTTTTATGAGCACTTAATATCTGCCAGGCACTACACTAAGAACTTTACAGATTCCTTTAATTCTCTCAGGGACCTATGAGAAAGATACTTTTAGGACAAACCCTATTTCATAGTTGAAGAAGCAGAGGTTCAAGTGGTTAGTAACATATCCAGTATATCCATGGTCTATAACTAGTGAGTCTCCAGTGACATTCCCAAGAAACTGATGAAATTATACATGTGAGGTATATGCACACATATGTGTTTTTAATGAAGACTAGTGGTATGGTGGAATAGTTCTTTTACTATTTTATTCAGGCAAGATTTATTAGAATATAAAAAACATTCCTTTTGTAGTTTTGTTATCTTGCATAAGAATAATTGAGCTACAAAAGCTCTGGCTGAATATGTCTACAGAGTGTACTGTTTGTAAAAGAAAGAATTGCTGAAGATAAATGAAGTGTTAGTTGAAGTATAAATAACTAAAAATGAATTTTGGGTCTTTAATAAACTCATGTTTGCTCTTCAACTTTTTGTTTTTAGAGCTATAAATACCTGTAATTTCTAAGATCATCTTTGTTTTTAAAGAAATGATATCTTGGGGTATTTCTGAGTGTTCCTATTAAAAGTGTGTGTGTGTGTTTGTGATGATTTTGCCCAGTAATACAAACAGTCTCAATTTAATTGTAAAAGTGGAAACTAGTTGTAATGTAGTAAGTAGAACATGGTGTAAGTGTCCTGTAACTTTAAATCTTGTTTGATCATTTTGGACAGTCTGTTATTGGGTTTGTAAGTGATTATGTATTTTTAATAGACAAAGCTATAATATAGAAAATGTATGGAATAAACATAACATCTGTTCTAATTTAATTTTCAGGCACATCTCCATACTTTGTGGCTGAAGCCCACACCACAGAACTGTGGGCATGCCTGGAATTGAGAGACACAATTAAAGCCTCCAAATCACTTCCTGCCTTTGGAAACTCCAGAAACCCATCCCTTTGGACTCTGGAATTCTACACATCTCAGCAGAGATTTTGCTTTGCTTGAATGTTTACATTTTTAGTTTGCTGTCCTACATATCACCAGACAGTGTCCGCCTTCTGTTAAAACTTTCAAGTGCCGGGAGTTGATCTTGCTCAACAAGCCAGCATGGCTAGGATGAGCTTTATTTTAGCAGCTTGCCAACTGGTGCTGGGTTTGCTAATGACTTCATTAACTGGGTCTTCTCTACAAAACAGTGAGTGTCCACACCTCTGTGTATGTGAAATAAGGCCCTGGTTTACCCCGCAGTCAACATACAGAGAAGCCACCACTGTTGATTGCAATGATCTCCGCTTAACAAGGATTCCCAGTAACCTTTCCAGTGATACTCAAGTGCTTCTCTTACAGAGCAATAACATTGCAAAGACCATGGATGAGCTTCAGCAGCTTTTCAACTTGACTGAGCTAGATTTCTCCCAAAACAACTTTACAAATATTAAGGAGGTAGGGCTGGCAAACTTGAGCCAGCTTACTACTCTACATCTGGAGGAAAATCAGATTGCAGAAATGACTGATTACTGTCTTCAAGACCTCAGCAACCTTCAAGAACTCTATATCAACCATAACCAGATTAGCACTATTTCTGCTAATGCATTTTCAGGCTTAAGAAATCTTTTAAGGCTCCACCTGAACTCCAATAAATTAAAAGTTATCGACAGCCGCTGGTTTGATTCAACACCCAACCTTGAAATTCTCATGATTGGGGAAAACCCTGTGATTGGAATTCTGGATATGAACTTCAGACCCCTCTCAAATTTGAGAAGCTTGGTTTTGGCAGGAATGTATCTCACTGATATTCCTGGAAATGCCCTGGTGGGCCTGGATAGCCTTGAAAGCTTGTCTTTCTATGATAACAAACTGATCAAGGTCCCTCAACTTGCCCTGCAGAAAGTTCCAAATTTGAAGTTTTTAGACCTCAATAAAAATCCCATCCACAAAATCCAAGAAGGAGACTTCAAAAACATGCTTCGGTTAAAAGAATTGGGAATCAACAATATGGGGGAACTTGTTTCTGTGGACCGCTATGCCCTGGATAACTTGCCTGAACTCACTAAGTTAGAAGCCACCAACAATCCCAAATTATCGTACATCCACCGCTTGGCTTTTCGAAGTGTTCCTGCCCTGGAAAGCCTGATGCTGAACAACAATGCCTTGAATGCCGTTTACCAAAAGACGGTAGAATCCCTCCCCAACTTGCGTGAGATCAGCATCCACAGCAATCCCCTGAGGTGTGACTGTGTCATCCACTGGATCAGCTCCAACAAGACAAACATCCGCTTCATGGAGCCCTTATCCATGTTCTGTGCCATGCCGCCTGAATACAGAGGGCAGCAAGTGAAGGAAGTTCTAATTCAGGATTCAAGTGAACAGTGCCTCCCAATGATATCTCACAACACATTCCCAAATTATTTAAACATGGATATCGGCACAGTAGTTTTCCTAGACTGCCGGGCCATGGCTGAACCAGAACCTGAAATTTACTGGGTCACTCCTCTTGGAAATAAGATAACTGTGGAAATGCTTTCAGATAAATACAAGCTAAGTAGTGAAGGTACCTTGGAAATATCTAACATTCAAATTGAAGACTCAGGAAGATATACCTGTGTTGCCCAGAATGTTGAAGGGGCAGACACTCGTGTGGTGACAATTAAGGTCAATGGAACCCTTCTGGATGGTACCCAGGTGCTGAAAATATATGTCAAGCAGACAGAATCTCATTCCATTTTAGTATCCTGGAAAGTTAATTCCAATGTCATGACATCAAACTTAAAATGGTCATCTGCCACCATGAAGATTGACAACCCCCACATAACGTATACTGCCAGGGTCCCAGTAGATGTTCATGAGTACAACCTAACACATCTGCAGCCTTCCACAGATTATGAGGTGTGTCTCACGGTATCTAATATTCATCAGCAGACTCAAAAGTCATGTGTTAATGTCACAACCAAAAATGCAGCCTTTGCGCTGGACATTTCTGATCAAGAAACCAGTACAGCACTTGCTGCAGTAATGGGGTCCATGTTTGCCGTCATTAGCCTCGCGTCCATTGCTGTGTACATTGCCAAAAGATTTAAGAGGAAAAACTACCACCATTCATTAAAAAAGTATATGCAAAAAACCTCTTCAATCCCATTAAATGAGCTGTATCCACCACTCATTAACCTCTGGGAAGGTGACAGTGAGAAAGACAAAGATGGTTCTGCAGACACCAAGCCAACCCAAGTTGATACATCCAGAAGCTATTACATGTGGTAATTCAGTGGCTATTTTGCTTCTGGTAGTAAGGAGCACAAAGACGTTTTTGCTTTATTCTGCAAAAGTAACAAGTTGAAGACTTTTGTATTTTTGACTTTGCTAGTTTGTGGCAGAGTGGAAAGGACAGGTGGATATTTCAAACTTTTTTAGTATAGCGTATCGCAAGGGTTTGACACGCTGGCAGCATCTCTAGGCTTCCAGTTTGTGTTTGGTTTTTATTCTTATCATTATTATGATTATTATATTATTATTATTATTATTATTATTGTTTTGTTTTAGTTGTTGTGCTAAACTCAATAATGCTGTTCTAACTACAATGCTCAATAAAATGATTAATGACAGGTTGGGGTTCCCCTGTGCTTTTACCAGTAGCATGACCCCTTCTTCAGAAGCCATCAGCAGAAAGTACCATGTCCTACAAAAAGCTAACATACAGTTGTGAAGCAGCATTGAGCCTTTTTGTAGCAATCTGGTCTGCAGACTTTTTAACTCAAGAAGCTAAGGCTAGATTTGTTACCTTCTTTGAATGATGTTAGTTGACTGTACTGTAATGTTGTATCAACTGAATTGAATGTTTGCCTTTGAACAATGACTTTTTTTTTTGTAATGGTTAAAGAGGCATAGAACAAACTAACAGGCAATAGAATATGTACATCAAATTTTTTAATGTAACGAACTACATGTTAATTGTTACCTTATTCTTTTTATCTTTAGTAGACACTTTTAAAAGAAAAGACAATAATTTTGTTGTGTTTAACTCACCAACATGTGGTGTATAATGAAGACAGAACTATAATAAATTAGTTTTGTTCTGATTTTTTAGAACACTTGCAATAATGTATCATTTATAGTTCTTGCTAGTTGTAGTGGTGGTATTTTTCACGCCCCTAAAAACAATCACCAAAATCAGCTACAGCATGATGCTTTTTACAAGTAGGCCCTAGAAAGTTTTGAAATCTTTTTTAAGGGGATAAATTTCTATTTTAATGAAGCTATTTTAATGAGCAGGATTCCTATATTTTAAATATTACCAGCCAGACCTAATGGAGGGAAAAGTTCATATTTTTAAAAAAGCTGTATTGATTACTGTTTCCCATGCATAACTAAACATGGTAAAAAAAAATAGAGATTAGGTATGTCTCACATTCCTTTTATTTAACGGTTTTGTTAAAATTTGGTTTCTTTTAGTATATTCATGCCCTCCATCAAAGTCTAAAACATACAGCTGTGTAGTACTCTGAAGTCTATTACATATTATTCCTTTTTTAACAGTTGTCTACATGCTTAGACCCATATTAGTTCATGGATCAGTGGGGAGATACCCACCTAGATAAGTAAATGATTAAAAGAAAATAGGACAGCGTCTGTACAGTTGGCATTTTTCATCCAAATAATATAAAGAGACAATTCTGCCAATTTAATTGTTTCCTGGGAAATAAATGCATGTGTGAAAACTAGAACAAAAGAAGTTAGACATAGGTAGGAGGTCAGTCTACAAATTGTGTGTGTGTTTTTGGTTTGGGTGGGTGGTGCATATAAAGGTGTTAGAGGAAACGAACCACCTGAAAATGTGGATTGATAAAGCAGAGAAACAAAGAAAGGCTGTCCCATATGGCACCTGCTGCCAGGGACATACTGTTATAACAGGAATGATGAGACTGTAAAAAGGGACTGAGAGCAATCAGGTGCCAGCTGAGCAAAAGTGAGCAAGAGAAAAAAAGTGCAGGTGAGGCAGGCTGAAGGATGTCTTTGTAAAATCCCTTATTTCATGAGTCACTTAGAAAATAAGATCACTTTCCTTCCCATTTCTAAGGACAAAAAAAGATTTTCAAATTCTGAAGCAATGAGCTACAGTAGAAAAATTAGTATCTAAGCTAGAAGCATCTCTTCCCACAGCCTTCATTTGTTGCTGAGAAAATCCTAGGCCCAGGGAAGAACTGTAACTTCCCCTAATTCTCCTGGCCACTGAGGACCCTTTATTCTGTCTATTGCTCTGAGGCCAGGAGCCTTCCAGACTCCCATGGAAAACTCATCTTTTACAATTCTTAACAAGCTCTGGTGCCCATGCTTTAAAAATACACTATATACTCAAATTTCCGTTTACTCACGAAAAAAATTTTAGCACAAGGGCAGACTGGAGGATCAGGAAAGCATCTACATTGTTGGTGCTGCAGAGCACATGCAGGAAACAGGGAATTGGAGATGCTTTGGATGCCACATTGAAGGGTTTCCCACTGGAAGATTCTTGTCTTGAAATATCTCCAAAGAGTAGTAGACATCTAACCAACTCTCCTGCTAACTCTGCAAGCAGTAAAAGGGGAGCGACACTGAAGCATTAGGCCCAGAGCAGAGAGGAGGCATTGTTTACCCCATAAAGCAACGGTTTGAACCTGGCACATAATCAGTGCTAATCAGTGCTCAAATATTAGTGGGGTAAATGACTGAAAACAGCCATTTAGAGCAGGCACCAGGGTATCTGGGTCCTTCTGTCAACTACATTTTGCCAGGCCGTTTTGGGGAGAAAATCCCTTGTAACTTTTCCTCCTCCAATAAAATATTTGAGCTTATTTTTCCTTGTCTGTGCTAATTCAGTTGGTTTTCAGTTGATAGACAGCAAAATGGTATAGTCTTCTTTTCCCTAGCCAAGTATTTCCTCATTTGTACTTAATTTAATTTGGTAATTTAGCCAGTGAAATTAGGCATCAAACTGGGTCCTGATTGATAATGGAGGTTGTAGCGTCTTTACCAGCCAAGTGACTATTACAGGCCACTTTCTAATTTCATATTTTCCCTTTTGCTTCCTGCTGCCCTTGGGACATTATAATGCATCTCTAACCTGATTTTACAAGGTTATTTTTGGAGCAGTTTCTTAAAACAGGCTCTCCTAAATTTGCCCATTTACTTAACAAACTGAACTGATGCCATGAGTATAAGAAAATGCAGTATATTTTTTTCTAATTTGGCTGTGTAATTGACAAAAAGGAATCAGCTTTAATACCAAAGTCCATTATTTTCTCTCTGTGGATCCCTATTTATTCGTTCACTCATTTCCTCAGGATACCACAATCAATCCTTCCTTGGTGTTTGCTTTCTATCTTTCCATTCATATTCTGAGTCATTTTTTTTACTTCATTATTGTTTTTGCCATTAGAAAAAAATCATTTCATATTTTTAACACTTTACTGGGAAAACCATACTTTCTGTTTTTCTAGTCATTGAAAAGGAGAATTTAACTACTTCTGATGCATTCCAACTACAACTGAAAATGCTTTCTTCACCTCAATTCTTCCTCTCTCAACCTGCCTGCAAATAGATTTTTTTATTATTATTTATAAGGGAGTAGCTGGAGGAAAAATGTTTCTTTAAAGATGAGTTTTAGAATCATCATCCTGAGCTCTAGAATGATTTTGGCCTGGAGCCTCTGCAGGACTTGATCTAATCCGGTGGGGATGATTTCCCTGCCCTGTCCTCCAGCACTGACACTGGCTCTCCTCTGCACTGACACTGGCTCTCCTCTGCCCTCCAAGTTAGAGGAGCTGGTAAGAAGAGCGAGATGATGAGGGAGCTCATTAGTTCTGTACTTGCTGGATCAGCACTGCCCAGAACAGGTGAACAGAATTAAGTGGTACTTTTTTTTATTGTAGAACTCCTCAGAGATCTGATAGTATGAATATGAAGTACTCAGCATTTCCCACAGCCATTTGACCACTGGTGTAGCTCAGAGTACTATATATTCTGAGAAACTGAGGATTTAATTTAATCCCCAAAAATGGTTCTGGTAAATTGGGTATTATTCTTCCTAATTTGCACATAAAGAAACACACCCATAGGAGTCATCATTTGCCTGAGACCATACAGCTCTGTAAACTGGTGACCAGGATGGGGCCCTCCACATCTTTTTCCTCTCTCTCCCATCCAGTGCCCTTCTGTGGTGGAGGGAGGAGCATCTGTTCTAAGGCAGAGATCGCAGGGCACATGGGAAAAAAGCAAAGTGGATAAAGGAGAGCTCATCAGAGTTAACCTGGAAAGCTTGCTTTATGTCTTCAAATGCTCTTCTCTTCCCCCTAAGTAGCTTTATGTGCTGGGGATCTGTGACATACACAATAAAACTATGTCTACATCAGGATAAATTTTAATTGTAACTTTCAGTTCTCCCTATACTCTCCTCTCTGTTACCCACTCAGATAATTTTGAAGATTTTGGGGAGGAGATTCCAAGCTCATTCTTTCCTTAGCAGTACACCATGGAAGGCTATGTAAAATTAGTGACAAACTCAATTGTTAGCTCCAAAGCTTAAATGGGGAAATGTGGAGTTCATATAATTGGGCAGTTGCAAGAATGGTATCTGACATCTGGAAACAAATGACTTTTTTATAATCACCAAGTTTGCAGTTTGTGGGATATTTAATATTCAGGCAACCATTCCCCTGATTAAGTCCATCTAGATGCCATAGGACATTAAAAGGCTGTCTTTTAAAAAATAAACACATAGCCCTCCTTTTAAAAAACAAATGCCCCATTTGTCTACTTGATATGACACAAAACTAGTTGTATACGCCTCATGAAAGTAGCTCTGGGTGCCAAATGGGTCAGCCCATGCCACTCTTCTCCTCTCCGCCTTGGCCTCCCTCTCTTTCTCCCCTAAGATTGAACTGACAAGGTAAGTCTCAGCCTGGGTCCTGACAGAATGTTCATGAATTCCTAACACGGAGGCTGTCCTGAATTAAGTAGCATTCTAATTCATCAATCTGCAAGTTAGCTTGTATCATTTATATAAATGGAAGACAGGGTGGTCATGGGGGAAAGGAAAACAAACTATTTAAATATTACTTATGAAGGACTAAGGAGGGAGAGACATTTATTGTATACAGAGCCCTCTGCTAGGAGTGTCAAAAAGATCGTTTTCATTTAATCTGCTTAATTGCCCCAGGTTAGTGCCCCTGTCCCTCCATTAGAGAGAAGAAAAATGAATACTCAACCTCAGAGAGGCAAGCAATTTAATCTGAAATCCCACCACTGGTAAGAAGCAGAACTTAAACACAGAGTCTCTATGACTAAAGCTTGTAGATTTTCAGTTACAAAGTGGCCTGTCAGCTAAATCTGGATCAGGAATGTAGAACGCATAAACCAAAATCCAATTTGGCACTTGAGACAGAAGGAAAAGTGGAGCAAAGGGAGGCACTGCTGAACAGTGAGGCCTCAGAGTACAGGCATCTAATTTAAGGCCCTCCACCCGAGATCAGTATGTGAAAATAACAGCAAACCAAAGAGGAAAAAGTAAAAGGCCACTGGGGTGTGGGGGAAGTCAGAGTAGATATCATATATTGTCATTATTAAGAAGTTGGAATGTTTTAGATGTGCTGAGAGCACTTTACCTGTGTTATCTCATGTAACCTTTAATAACTTTTTGAAGTTGGTATGTCCTGTTTTTAACATGGAGAAACTGAGCATCTGTTCATGAGTCATAAGTTAGGAAGCCAAGATTTCAACCCTGGCTATCAGACTCCAAGGCCAAGACTAACCGCAAAACCATTTTCTAGATAAAGAGGAACTCGGGGTCACGTGCTGGGCATCTCATTTGCTTGATTGATTTAGTTCTTTCCTGAGACTGGGGAGAAGGAAAAAGGATTCAAGACTTTCCAGGATATTTCATGGTCCTTTCCATAAAAAGTTGGTTAATGTGAGATCGATGCCACAGGTTTAGGTAAGGGAAAACATTGCCTCACTTTTTCCTTTCTAACTGTTAAGATTAGTCCTACATTTTAACCACTCCTCTGATCTATTCTTTTAAGCTATACCACATCATCTGGAGCACAGCCTTGCTCTGATGCCCTGTGTAACCTAATGTTAACTTTCCTGTAAATCATTCCTGGTAAATCATCCCTGGAACTGCTAAAATGAAGAGTTTTATGCCTAATCCCTTATCTCTGTGATCTCAACAGGCTTTAATTTAAAAATATATTACTCTCTATCTTCTAAGAGACAAATTGGTTTACATATCTCCTGTTCTACTGATGAAACTATGAAAAGAAGGCCTCTATGAATATTAACTAAAATGCATGTTCCCATATTCCCTCTTGTTAGGATACCACACACTTATAACAATGTTTGACTTCACCAAATCTATTCTAAGTGCTTAGGTGTGGCCCCCCATAAGACAGTTCCTATCTGCCATTCATTTTAAAATGGTATTTTCTTCTTCTGATTATAAAAGTAATATATATTCATCATAGACAATCTAGAGAAACATGTGTTAAGGAAAAATAGTGTATGATTCCACAGTTCCAAAATAACCACGTGAGAATTTGGTGTACCTTCTTCTAGTCTTTTTTCCCTCTGTGTGTATATTTATATATGTATACATACATATGATTATAAAGATATATATCCTTATGAATATACAATTAGAATCCTGGTATACATGGTTTTGTAAACCAGTTTTTTTTTCCATCACACAAAAATAAGTAACTTCCCATATAATTGAGTTACTTTGGAAAGCATGACGTTAAAATCTGTACCTATGTAAATGACCACTCAGTATGGAAGTACTACCAGCAGCATGAAATGGTAGCACAAAAGCACAAGGAAGAAGGACCCAGGCTGCTTTGGGAACTCAAACTTCAAATCTCACTACAGCTCAGAATTTGAAGATGAGGTAGCACTCAATAAGCCAGCATCCAGAGGAAGAGCATTCTGGGAAGAGGGAGCAAATCCCTGTTATCCCAGTTTCCAAGGATAGGGAAGAAAGCTTCCCAGAGGAGCTGGGGATTCTGGAGGCACTCTGGTGATAGAGAAAGGGCTACCAAAATTATAGAGTGACTAATAGAAATCCAAGGTACAAGAGAAAATACAACTTTTTGTGCAAGGATGAGAGGGAGAGGCTGAGTTATACAATAAGGCTGTGGGCCCCAGAAGGAGCTTTGTTTCTGATTTTTTTTTTTAGCCATTGCACATAATCCCTGGGGGAGTGACTAACTGGTAAGATAAGAAGCCCGCAAGAGCAGCTTGATAAACCTTCCTAGCCCTTGGGGCCTCAATGTAGAATCTCAGTTGTGGTAATATGGAAAACCCAAGCATTGAACAGATGAGAGGTTGCCCTAAATCCTGATGTCTACCCCAGTTAGCAGTCTGCAGTTAATACAAGTTTCCTTTGGTGTCTGTGGTAACAAGAAAATAGGAATGCATGTTTGGAAATGGAAACTGATTATGTGGGGTTTTAAAGCACAAAGTAACCCTCTTTTCAACTTATTCCTAGACCATTAATACAAATATTTATGGTTCACTTGCTTAGAATAAAATGATTATTTTAGTGTTGTAACAGACAAGGCCTTGGGCTGTGAATAGCAATAAAGAACAAGGCATATTTTGACACATCTACTTCACTCTTTGTCCCCCAAAAGTAAAACAGGTCAAAGACATTGTAATACAGCCTAATACAAAATATTTCTGAAGCTAGAATCTATTCCTATGGGATTTCCTTTGGACTCTTAATTTGATTAATTCCTGAGAATAGAAATTCAAGATAACAAGAAGAGATTGATTTTAAAAAAAAGTTGCTTTGTCCTAA